ACTAAATAGACTTTTTGGCCTACCCAATAAATAATGTTCAGAGACAACAGGATGAAAGATGATTTGGCTGATTCTAAGAACTGTCAAAGAGTTGTACAAAGCTAGAATACAAAGTACAGGTTAGGAAAAGTTTTGTGAGCCACATTGTAGAGCTGAGACTCATTCACACCTGCATTTTAAAATATTTAGAGCAGTAATTTCCAACTGGAAGCAATTTTACACCAGGAACATTTGGGAATGTCTGGGGATATTTCTGATTGTCACAATGATGAGGGAGGTATAGGAGCAACTGGTTTGCTACTAACATTTACCTGGTATGACACTGATAAACACCCTATAATGCACAGTGCAAAGAATGTAAGCAGTGTCAAGGTTAAAAAAAACCCTTAGAATTTAGAAATCCTCATGGAGCCATGGAGCCCTGGCTGGTGGCTTGAGCGCTGGGCTGTGAACCAAAGGGTCGATGGTTCGATGCCCAGCTAGGGCATGTGCCTGGGTTGCGGGCCTGTCCCCAGTAGGGGCAGAGGAGAGGCAATCACACATTGATGTTTCTCTCCCTCTCTTCTGACTCCCTTCCTCTCTCTCTAAAAATAGATAAATAAAATCTAAAAAAAGAAAAAAGAATGGAGCTAGATCCTATGGTACAGGAATAAGAGTGGAGACAGAGAATCAGGCAACCTATCAGTTCTGAGAGAACAGAGACATGACCTTCTCTATCCTGCAACTACAAAAAAATACATGTGTCATAGCCCACTGACAGATATAGGATAGGGACTCAATATTTAGAGGGTAAGTGAATAAATGAGGGTAAGTAGAGTGCCAGGCATGAAGTATTAAGGCCTGAAATAATGTTGTAGCAATGGTAACTCAAATAGAGAGGTCCAACAATTTGCAAACAGTGTGAAAAAAAGCTAAGAAAGGAAAACCCAATTTACCATCACAAATCTTAAATGATCATCTGAGTTACAGCAAGAAGTTCAATGAAAATGAATAAACACTAAGTGTACTATGTATGGTATACTGGACTGAAAATCCTGCAATAAGAAAAAAATAAGTAGTGGGAAAATTTAATGAGATATGAATAAGGTCTGCTGCTTAGTTAATAATAATGTACCAATGTTGGTTAAGTAGTTTTGAGAAATGTAGCAGACTATAACATTAACGAAAAATGAGTAAGGGTAAACGGGAGCTCTTTGAACTCTCTGTGCAGCTTTTTGGTAAATGATTTCCTATTCCAAAATTAAAAATACATTAAACAAAACCCCCATGTCCCAAATGTGTCAAAATTTAAATATTTAGATCTATAAGTAAATATTTAAATCTATCATGTATCGTAGGAAAAGCTAAAATGTTAAGGTTTTTTTTTCTTACTTCCACTGACACTTGGTAATACCACATTTACCAAGGAAAAAGCAAAGAAAATCTTTAAAGGAAGCCAGACAGAAAATGGCAAGAAGTAATCAAACTAAGTCAACATCACAAAAAGTTCATATTTTTTAAAAAAAGTCTTCTGACACACACTGTGATAACTTGAAAAGATACACTGAATCATAATGCAGACAATATGTCGAAAAATTTGATGAATTTTTCTTTCCATTACCATCCTATTCATAGTTTTCTAGCAAAGACATTCCAATCAACAATTTGGAGCAGAAAGAAGAAAGAAAGAAACATTCAACCAAAACAGAATGAAGAAACAAGAATTCAAAGAAATAAGGAGAGGCTTAGGAACCTCCAGGTCATCTTTAAATGTTCCAACATTGGAATCATAGGGGTGCCAGAAGGAGAAGAGGAAGACCAAGAAATCGAAAACTTATTTGAACAAATAATGAAGGAGAACTTCCCCAATCTGGCAAAGAAAGTAAGATGTTCAGGAAGTCCAGGAAACTCAGAGAGCCCCAAAGAAGTTGAACTCAAGAAGAAACACACCAAGGCACATCATAATTACACGGCCCAAGATTAAAATGAAGGAGAGAATCCTAGAAGCAGCAAGAGAAAAGGAGGCAGTTACCTACAAAGGAGTTCCCATTAGACTATCAGCTGATTTCTCAAAAGAAACCTTACAGGCAAGAAGGGGTTGAAAAGAAGTACTTGAAGTCATGAGAGGGAAGGACCTACATCCAAGATTACTCTATCTAGCAAAGCTATCATTTAGAATGCAAGGGCATATCAAGTGCTTCCCAGATAAGGTCAAGTTAAAGAGTTCATCATCACCTAGCCCTTATTATACGAAATGTTATAGGGACTTATCTAAGAAAAAGAAGATAAAAAATGTGAATACTAAAGAAACAACAAGCACAACCATTAACAACTGAACCTACAAAAACAACTAAGTAAACAACTAGAACAGGAACACAATCACAGAAAAGGAGATCACATGGAGGGTTATCAGTATGGGAGTGGGACGAGGAGAGAGGGGGGAAAGGTACAGAGATAAGTAGCATAAATGGTAGGTAGAAGATAGCTGGGGGAGGTTAATAGTATAGGAATGTAGAAGCCAGTGAACTTATAGGTACGACCCATGGACACAAACTAAAGGAGGGGAATGAGGGTGAGAGAAGGTGTGCAGGGTGGAGGGGAACAAGAGGGAAAATGGGATTAACTGTAATAGTATAATCAATAAAATATATTAAAAAAAGAAAAGAAAAAGTCTTTCAGAAAGATACAATTATCTGCTTCGTAATTAATTTTGTTATGTGAATATACCAGTAGCATTTTTCTGTTTCAACACAAAACTCAAGACATTTCTGTCATATTTATATTCCCTATATTCATGTCAGCAATATTTACTGATCTGACAAAAAGTCTAACATCTGTTCAAACAGAGTCCCATAGGACAGAGAATGAGGCAGAGACGATATAGTAAAAAATAATGACTGAAAATTTTCCAATGTAATAAAAGACATTATAGATTCAAGAAGCCTAATAAATCTCACACAAGATTAATTTAAACAAATTGACACCAAGACACAAACTGAAGAAAACGAAAAAGAAAATCTTAAAAACAACCAGAGGAAAAAAAGATCACTTTCCAGTAGCCATAGTTTTAAACCAAAATTGCGTATTAGTAATTATATAAAGAACAAAACGCATAGATAAAACAAAGACTGTCATATTGTACTTTTTTAAAACCACTTCTATTTTTTTTCAAAAAAAATTTTTTAAAGATTTTATTTATTTATTTTTAGAGAGGGAAGGGAGGGAGAAAGAGAGAAACATCAATGTGCGGTTGCTGGGGGCCGTGGCCTGCAACCCAGACATGTACCCTGACTGGGAATTGAACCTGCAACACTTTGGTTCGCAGCACGTGCTCAATCCACTGAGCTACTCCAGACAGGGGTAAAACTACTTCTATTTTTAACAAATATGGAAAATAAAAGGATACAAAACCCTTGAAAATAAGACAATGAAAAAAGATGTAGTATATAAACACAAAGTAAAAGTTATGCAAAACTCGTAATATTGATGATTGGTATAGGAAGTATGCACAAAATGAAAAAAATTAAGTAGTATTTGGACAGATGGAAGAGAAAGAATAACTCCTGGCTACACAGAAGGATGGAGGGTAGAAAAAGAGGCTCTGATTAAAACATGAAGGTCTCTAAAATTCACAATTTCATACTTAGTGGTAGAGGAAGCATAACACCATTAAAATATCTTAACCTCTTTACACTACCATGATCACAAGAGCGACATAGCTAAAGCAGAATTAAATAAGATGAATATTACAGTGTTATACCTTATGATGTGGAAGAAGGGAAGGAGATGATATCAGAAGCAATGAGACTGGTTTGGAGGATATGTAGGAGTTTAGGTAAGACAAGTACCTGATAAGGTAAAAGAGATGAATCTAGGAGGCATTTCAAGAGGAAATCTACTTACATCAGTTTTCCTTCTTTGAAATTTTAAAGGCAAAAAACCCTGCATTATGCTTTTTAAAAAATTATTTTTGTTTTCCAGCTTTATCACCATTCTGTATTATGATATAGCCACCCATTAAATCAACCTAATAATACATGTATTAGGAAACTAGCAATTTTCAACCTTTTTCATTTCATGGCAGACATAAACTAATTACTAAAATTCTGTGGTACACCAAAAAATAGATTGTATTTTTTGCCAATCTGACAAAAAGTAGGTATAATTTTGATTGCTTTACAATAATAATAATAGTAGTAGTAGTACTAGTAGTAGTAGTAATTACCTACCCTTTCTGCTCCATGCAGACTTTCAAATTTCAGGTGACTATACTTGTATATAAGGATTTCTGATAGCAAGAATTAACCAATCAGATGCAACCTTATACAACATGAACAATAAGATGTAACTCTATTATGTGACCTATATGTTATGGTTCACTACAGGGCATTCACACTGGACAGCTACTGTTTTGGAAACTGTTGTCTTTTTTTTAATATGACAATCTAAGGAAAAAGAGGTCAGTTCCCCTGACTAAATATGTATTGTATGTTTTAAAATGTCTTGAGGCACACAGTGTCCTATGCAGCTGAAAAATCACTGTCATAAACAGTCTTTTGTAAAAATAAAATACCAATGAACTAGTTAGCCTATATTAGGTACAATATACATAATCCATAATTACACATTATTATGACTTCTTCACTATTAAGATCACTTATATGGGTCGGGCAGAAGTAAGGCCTGCTTGAGAGTGGTTGGTAGGGTAATAGTATGGGGGTAATAATTTGTAGTTTTAATTTGAGCATTTCACCTAAAATGTCTTAGGGTGTACTTGAGTATGATGATATTGTTGTTATGGAATTACATGCTCATGATTTTGTAATGAAAGATTTTGTAATAAAAAGGAGCATTATCTGTGCCAGACCCTGAATAAGAAAAAAATGACATCTTTTTTCTCTTTGAATGCTAATGTATATAATATGAAATTCTCTTATTTCATAGTAACTAAAAAACAGTTTTATTGTCAAAAGCTCTTTACCAAAAGACCAACAACTTGGTAATGAACTTAAAAAACTCACCAATGCTGGGTGGGCTACCATAGTTAATTGGTGACTCAGGTGGTCTTCCACAATGCAGTGCAGCCAGAGCAGATCCTTTCCATACAACATGCTTGCAGCCTATTAAATACACATATTTTTATGGATATAAAGATAAAACACAAAGACAAAAAGGGGGAAAAAGAATGTATAAACACCATTAGAAATTTTCCATACTTTTGTTTGTGCGTAGCAAAGACTGTCTTCCAGCTCCTAATAATGTTTGTACTCCAGGAACGCTTTGTGGAATTTCTTGTTCAAGAAGAGGTCCTAATCGATGACATATTTGCAGCAAGTGATCAGGTGCTAAATGTCTGTAATACTTCACCTATTATATGAAAGACATAAAATATTTGCTAAATAAAGTGATATTAAGTCTTTACAGGAATAAAGTATACTTTAGAATATATAGTAATATGTTGCGGCTAGTCAACATTTTGTTTTACTTGGGAGAAAAGTTCATGTTTATTCTGTGAAATCACTTGGCTCACAGAATAGAACAGCTACTCAACCATTACTAAATACTGAAGAATTAATGTAACCTAAATATAGCAAGTTATATATCAACAGATGCCAGTCACTGCAAATACTAACAATGAAAAAATATATAGCATTATTCCTAAAATGATGTTTCAGTGTAACATTTTAATTTGTAAAAACTTTAAAAAATCAAATTGTAAAATATAATAGATGTTTTGTATACTTGGTATTATAAAGATTAAAAAAACTTGATTGTTCATGTTCTTATACTGAGTTTTATAATTTACCTAAAACCTAATGGAAAGGCCAAATTTCAACTATTAATTTAAATATATTTTGATGATCATTAAATATAGTCTACTTATTAGAAAAAGTTTGAGCATACCTGAATCAACTATGAATCAACTTCAAAATACTGCTTAATTACTGAAAACACAATATGAAACATTATTTTTATTACTTATCCTAAAGTCTTTTTAGTAAAGAGACAATATCTGCATAATAATCTGAAGAGAATTAGAGAAAATAAAATACACTATGCTATCACTTTCTATTTATCAAGTTCATATTTATTTAGTTATCAAGTTACTGAAGGTTTCTCACTGTATTACTGAAAAAATATCCTAGGTCAGCTGCCCTAAAAGTATGTTCTGGAAGCCCCTGGAGGTTCCTCAAGTGAAAATTAGGAATAGAAGATATTATCTGCTTTTTCACTCTCATTTTCTCATGAGGATATAGTGTTTTCCAGAAGACACATGACATGATGTTACAACAGAATAAATGCAGAATCAGATAAGAATGTGTCTCTATTAAGCCAGACATTAAATGGCCCCCAAAATGAAAATCAATGAATGACACTATTCCCACAAAATTGTTTTGGAAAATATTTGTTATAAAAATAATTATATTAACATAAAATTAACTTATTAAATTACTTAAATATTTTTAAATCTTTTAATTTTATATGATAAATGACAATATTACCCACATAAATAAAGAAACTCAATAATTTTTATTAATGCAAAGGGGTTCTGAGGTCATGAAGTTTGAGAACTGTTCACGTTTAGTTAGTAATGGCAATTTTAGTATGAATTCCTTATATAATTAATTTGGGGGAGAAGTGAAGGGTTAAATCATTTCATTTCATCCTGTAGTCATCTACTGTACTTGTAACTGTTTAAGACCATGAATAGTATTTCTAAAAACTTTGCTAATATTCATCCTTCTAAGCTGAAGCTTATTAAGAGAAACTTACTTTGCTTTTCCTCATAATACAATACACTCCTGCTATGGAGACAACATTGAGCCATCCTGTCACACTTTGACAGGCTAACTGAAAATTCTATGGAGTCTAGCATACAGTAGATGGTAAGTACTAATAAAGTGAATAATTCTGGAAAAGAGGTTCTAATACAAATTGTACATACATTACATCTCTGCTTTGGGGATTCACAAAGCTCAATGACATTTAAGCCTCTTAAAAATCTTGAAATAAAACTAGTTTTGTTTAATGCACAATTTCCAAAACTCGGTTAGTAACAGGTTCCTTTTTTCCTTGGTAGTATCATCTTGCCTCAAAACATACTTTTTCAAATATCTGCTTCATTATGATTAGCTAAGTAGAAAAAGTACTTGAAAGAAAATATGCAAAAATAATAACTTTCACAACTGTATTTATACTTTTCTCTGATCTTTCCTAATTTGCTTAAAATATAATTTAAAAGAAAAATATCTAAAACATGTATAGGGTCCCTTCCAGTTCTAAACTGGTATATGATAATTATTGTAATGTAACTTCTTTAAATTCATCAAAATTCCTTGTAAAAATTTTACTTTAACAAGGAAGTTCATTATTAATGTTAATTTTGTGATTTTATTTGAGGGTCTTTTTGCAAAATACATTTTAGGTAATGAACCTGAGAATCCTTACTACAGAATTTCATCTTTTAAATAAAATATTATGAATATACTTTTCCCTACTAAACCTTTCCTTGATGATTTAATGTCACAATTTTTCAAAACCAATGTTCATTTTAAAGTTAGAAGAGATGCTTTCAATTCTTAAACTTCTCATGCTTTCTGGTCTTGGAAAGTTCATACAAGTTGATCCTTCTGCTTGAAATCTATTCTTTACCCACCCACCTCCACATATCATTCCCTTTCATGTCTTAGCCCATGCCTTACATGACCTGTTACACCACAGCTGCCCTACTTTTTTTCCATAGCACATTATACTATTTCCAAAATGTTCTTTTATGCTCCCCACCCCCAACACTTTGTAGTACTTATCATACCATATAAACTGTCCTTAATAAATTTTGATACTCAGACCTCAATGGGAATCCAATATCAGTTACGATCCTCTCTCCCTCCCCTCCAAAATCCACACATACAGGCCCTACCACAATCTTGTCCTGTTTGTGGGTTTAATAAGACCCCTGCACGATACCAAAATTGCCAATTTATTGGTCCATATCCTGCTTAAGATATAGAATTAGATCTTGTTTACCTATCAACCCAGTCCCAAAATGCAGTACTTGCAGGTGAGTGCTTAATAAGCTTAGTGAACACATGAAAATATGCAGAAACCACTGACTTCTACTAACTATTAAATAGTGAAGTTCCTTATGGTCTAAGATCTCAGAAACCAGTTCCAGTACCACTTTTCTATATGCTCCGTATTCTCTCCTTGGACAATCCTATACATATCAAACTTTCTTAAAAGACATCTCTCTTTGGAGCCCCAAACCTCTTCAACTCAACGTATGTAAAAATGAACTCACAATCTTCATGCCAAACACATCCCAAAAAATGTTCCCCATCTTAGTGAATAGCAACACCATATATCACGCCTCAAACCAAGAAGTCATTTTTTTTACATTGCCCATTCCTCCCTCCTACCTCATTCCCAATACCCAAACTGATTTTTCACCAAATCCAGTTGATTTTTCCTTCCTAAAATTCATCTACCTCCCCCTCCTTCACCACAATAACAGCCCAACTTCAAATTATCTTTACAATAAACTCATCTTTGCCACATCCACTCATGTCCTCTAACTCATTAAAATCTATTCTCCACTGACCTTAGAATCCTCTTTCCAAAACATGTATCTGGTCACGTCACCCCCACTTAAAACCACCAGAGGCTTTCCTTGTTCTTTGGAGATTCAAATCATTAACATGGTCTACAAACCCTGAAATGAATTTCTGGTTCACTCATTCCTATTTCTCTCCTTTACCTGGCACATTCCCAGCCTTACACCTTCCAGCCCACTTTCTACATTTAAACACAACAGTCTTTCAGGTTCTTTACCTATACCCTTTCTTCTGTCAGGCTTTTTCTATGTGATGCATTTAACATTCCCCCACATTCCCTTGCCCACATGACTCTTCTAAGTGCTTCAGATCTTCCCTCCAATGTAACTTCCTTTGTTTTTCTTTACCCTATTTAGTGTAAGTACATTATCTTGGATATACACACTCAATGACTTTTCCTTAACTCATTCATCAGTTTACGATTATACATTCAAGAGTGTACTGATTTAATGTTTTTCTTCTCATGCTCACCAGAAGCTATAAGAGAACAGGATCATATCTCTTTTTGGTTCCAACTGTGTCATATACAATACTCATTTTAAAAAATAAATAAAAATTATCTTTTGTGACTGCCTTTCTCTAAACATTATTCTTCACGAATATTAATTCATGTCACTATGGTCAATATTTAAAATATAAAAACAAAAACAAATTTCAGAAAATTTAAATAGCTCATTTATGGACATACATAATTTTTAATGTTCAAATTAGTAAAAACTTTTATCTTTAATATTAAAGCTTTTTAGTTTGAATAAACTTGTATTTATACTAATAGATACTTAAAGGAAAATTAAAACTAAAAGGAAAACTTGAAATGATATTCTAACAAAATCCCTTATCCAAAATATCTATATTTGGATTCTCAGTAATTATTTCTCCACTGTTATTTGGTAAAAACAAAATAAAATTTGACATCCTCAGTTCTAATATACCTGCCCATTACTTTCCATGACCAGAACTGCTTTCAGGCTCTTTAGATGTTCAGCAAGTAAAAGTATGACCAAATTACAGTGTGATTAACAGAGCTAACACATAATGGCTCTACATCATCAAATGCTAGCCCTTGTGGTAAATGTGGCAAGTTTTACATGTAAAAGTTCAGTTAATTAACTTAACACTAAGATATATGTACCATTCCTATTACTATTAATAGAGAAATTATGCTGCAAAAAAGATAAAATAACCTTGAAAGGTCACACACATTTAGTGGATGCAGAGATGAGAATCAAACCAAGGCAGTGTAACTCCAGATAGAGCCCACATTCATACCACCAGACCCCAAAGTACCTATTGCCTCATATATATGCACATATCACTGTGCAAACAAACTATAAGAGAGACATTTTGAATAGTTTTCAAAAGACATTAAACTGAGCCAGAAAAATAAATGTTTTAAAGTTCACTCTCACTATGAACAAACTAGTACAAAAAGGTAAAGGAGAACACTTAAAAATCTAAGGATAGAAGTAGAAGATAAACTACCACAATGATATAGTGACAAAACTAAATACTCTCTCCCAAAATGGCTAAAGGAAATCAATGTGATCAACCCTACTTTTCTCAGTATTTCTAAGATTAAAACTTTAAACACTTAAAGTTAGAAGAAAGGTATAGATTACACAAGAGTTAATATTGCAAACCTTGATACTATTAAAAAATAAGAATTTTTTAAAAAGGCACATTTATCAGTAGTGCTCCATTTCTTATGCATGTCACCTTTGATAAACATTTCGTCTTCTCTCCCACTAAGAT